AACAGTTGCACGACAACGCTGCATGACAAGTATTCCACAACTGAAAACTCACGGAATCCTTCAAAGTGAGAACGGGAGTGAGGCAAGGTTGTCTACTATCGCCAATGATTTCCCTGATTGCAGTAGATTGAATAATGCGACAAACAGCGGGAAATGAGGAAACAGGCATAAAATGGACTCACACAAAGACAAACTTGGAGGATCTGGACTTCGCCAGCGATGATATATGTCTGATTTCCCACAAACTGGAGGATATGCAAGTGAAAAGCAACAAGTTGGCAAGAGAAGCATCAAAGATAGGAGGGCGTTCAGGTGAACATAGAGAAAACGGAGGGGATGAAGATTCCTGGCCAACACCAACAGAAACAACAACAACAGACAACAATCAGCCAGCATAAATGGGAGGAAACTGAAAGGAACAACCTCCTTCACCTACCAGAATGGGAAGCATCTTTTCAACTAAAGACGGACGGAACTGACGAGGATATCAAAGCGAGGGTTATCGGGAAAGCAAGACAAGCTTTCATTACTCTCAAGTCTGTGTGGAGATCAACAGCACTAGTCAGCACAAATATCATGAGATCCGGATTTTCAACTCCAATGTGAAGTCAGTCAGTGCTACTTACTATACGGATCAGAGACTTGCACTTCGCGTCATAGAGAGCATCTCAAACAAACTACAGACATTCATCAACGGCTGTTTTCGCTCAATACTACTCAAGATTAGATCGCCGGCCATAAAGGATCAGAAACAGGGTCGGGTCTCTGGCACTGAGCAAACCAACCAGGAACCGATTGCGCATCAAATATGCAGGAAGAAATGGAGATTGATTGGCCATACTCTGAGAAAACAAACCATCAAGTGACATCACACGCCAGACCATCACTCTAGTGGAACCAGAAAGGGAAGCGGGCGGCGAGTTGGTCGTCAGTGCAAGGGTGGGTGACTTGGAGGAGGTCATGTGAAGAGGAAATGAAAGGATGTGGGCAGACTTGGAGTGGGGTGAAAACGTTGGCAGAGAACCGAAGTCAATGGAGACGCGTGGCTGAAGCCCTATGTTCCTCTAGGAAGTATGGGATATAATAATAATAAGTAACAGCTTGCTAACAAGCTCGTTGAAAACGGTTTCATCACTGAATGTCGTGTTCTCAATGCTCAGGAACACTTTCCAGCCTAACCAGGGCAGGAAGAACTTAAATGTGCATATTACTCGGTCAGAGAACATCGATCGAACTCTGGACATTTTCCTCCATTTAAAAATTCCCTCAAGATTTTATACAAGATCCGATCAAACAGTTCAAAGGGAGTGAGATCAAGGCACCTGAACATAGCTGAGGCATTAACGATCCAAAAATTCAAAAGAAATACGTACAACGTTTGTCTTTACCATGGCCATAAGTCAATTTTCACAATTTTGTTTATCCAATTGCCTTTCTGATTCAAGCTTCCTGTTCATTTGCGTTAATTTTGAATTTTTGAAATTCATATTTGTACTATTGTGTTTTTTATCTGGACTTCCCGGTTATTTTTTTTATTATTACATTTCAATTCCTATCTGCAGTAATGTTAACTGGACCCGTAGCAGGAAATAATTCCAGAATTTTCTCACTCATTTACTGTAAGTACACAGCCTAGTTGATGACTTATTCGGAAAGAAAATTTTCATAGATGCAATCGACCTTTTATTTTTTCTTAAGAATATGAATTTTTAAATTCGTGAAAAAAAGGAGAATATTTCTCTTTTCGGGTAAAAGATTCAAGTTTCAAATCTTCCGTACACTCGGAGATCTGGGTTGTCATAGTCTACATAGAAGAATGAATTATAATCAGAATACTTTCAAGAATGAACGACATTACTATAGAACTGCACAATGAAAAATATTTTTGTGAAATATTATAATCAGTAATCATAAAGTGTGAAATCCAACTGAGTGTGTACAGATAGTGCAGCCGCTTGTGAAATTTTATTTATGGTTGATTCCTGAGGAAGTCAGAAATACACACTGCATGTGGTTGCAGGATTTCATTATGAGCTGACATCAGTCAGAGATTAATGGGGAAGCCAGCAGGGAGTACTAAACAGCTGTTTCATCCTAGTTTGGAATTCTTCGTTAGTACGCACCCACCATGATGGTTTAAACCCAGGACCTTCTGTAACAAGGAGAGCTGGCTCGTAGACCAATAAGCCATTGGGACCTGATCCAGTGGCCAGTCCATGAATTCTAGCTGACGCTAATTCATGACAATAGCGCAACCACTTCGCAATATTTTCTTCGATAAGCAACTGCCCTCACCTTCAACCTCCTGCATACACTAGTTGTGGCTTATTGACCTAGGTACTCTAATTTCAGCCAGTAGTTTTTGGGCTGGAATCTCTCACCATCTACTTCAGTCTGTGTGATTGAGTAGTGTATCGTCAACCCTTGAATAATCGTAAGTGTGATTCATAGCCCCATAAACAGTCAGCTGAATTTAAATTGAACAACTGATTGAATGGTTTCTGACTACTTATATCCGTCAGTAGGATACGTCGCATTGGCAAATTAAACTCCTACAGTGAAACCATGGTTTTAAGACAGGATGCTTCCACAACACCGAAGTAATTTTTCTTTGTATTTCACTGTAATTTTATGTTTAGTTTATACAATTATCAATAATATCGTGATATTTTCTGCTTATATACATCCTTATGAATAACTTTCAACATAACAGTGCAATGTTTCAGTATTCTGACAGGGTCCGAATGACTGCAGAAAAGAATTCGTCCATAAAAATTTGACAAAATATTATTCAATGATTTTTAGATATGAATGTTGTCGGTGTTATATATAATTAATCATTAGTAACCTATGATTAGGAGGGATATTAAAATTTGAAAATGGCGCCTTTAAATAAACCATACACTATATATATATATATATATATATATATATAGTCACATACGTATATCTCGACTCTAATACTCACGCAGCGAACGTTAACTAATTTACTGATTTCTATTCTCTATAATTTTCACTAAGTTGTGTTGGTAAAAGTAACACTGGAAATAATTGTAATAGCATCCACACCTTTAACGTTTTACATATGTATATACTAATATAATAATACTTATTAATCATGCATGTTCAATTCTTAAATTAGATTGTCATTAAAATACTTAAAATGATTACAATATTTATGCATCAAATGTTCTCTTGGTTTACCACGCTTGTTTACCTTATAACACTCAATTATTGAGCCTAATGTATTATTTGTTATACGAATTATATTATTGATTATACTCTTATCATATATGGTTTGATTTACTCTACGGCTCCCTGTAGACTAACTACCATTCTTCAGTATACACACACTGCAGTATTGTTAACCAAATGCCAAAATTTTGTTGGTTCTATGTTAATATCTTTTTATAATATGTCTAGACACGTTACTTTGCAATGTCAGATGTTTACTATATATAAGTACTCTAAGTCCTGCCAACCGACCTTACCTTCAGTCCATACTACCTAAATTGAACCTTAACTATAGTGTTCTGCTAAATCTTGTTCCACTATTCACAATACCTATTCGTTTTACTCTTTAAGTTTTTGACTTCTTATAAAGTAATCTGTTCATTAGGATGCATGCACACATATATAATATGTTCGTAAAGATGTACGTGGAGACCTATTGGAAGCACTCATTAAGAAAGCTAGGGAGATGGAATATGGGGTACGAACATGTCTGGTACCAAGCAATATATTTGCGGTAGCCATAATAATCATAGTCTCAGAGCCTAACATCAAAAAAGGAGGGAGGGTGGTGCTAGCTGATCAGTAGATATGGTGGTGGTCACTAAGGTGAATCACCCCATTCTGCAGGAACAGCAATACGCAATTTGAAGGCTCGAGATTTTCATGATTTTTATGAGGGCTTAGATCTTTATCTTGAAAAAGATAATAATGAACGCCTTGACAGATCATGCTTCTACCTTTAAATATATACCATTCGCTCAGCCTATTGTTGAGATGCGACCACGCGGGATCTGCACAGATTTATGGGGCATCTTATAAATTAACTTGCTATCCATTGTCAGATCTTTAAATACCACTTCACAATATCTTGTCTCACTTATTTTCTAATAACGTCTTTACTTGATCCTCATTATATTCCATTAAACCTAACATTTTATAGCTCTTTATGAATTTGATTCGACTTATTCTATTCCTATTCTCTGGAGGGTACGGTTGTGCACCAAATAGACAAAAAGGCATGAAATAAAAACAACTGGCTTGAAAATAATTGTATTAAAGCCAAAAGTGGACATCATGATAGTACAAAATATATTGGTTTTATTATACATTGCAAATGAACGTTGTCGGCCTAAGGATTAATTACTTCCCCATTCTGTTTTCTACATAAATGTGTTTATTAATGATATATTTCACTCACTTAATCTATTACACTTTAATGATTCACCTTAGCACTTTAACTTTTCTAAAACAGCTTCCAATCCCTTGTAAACGTTGTACTTACCTCAATATTGGTTGGTTATCGTATGCCTACAACCACGGGATGAAAACGAAACGAAGTCGATTTTCCCGCTCAACCTGGAGGACAACTGTACAATTCAATAACTATACGGCCTGGTTCAGACAATGAGTGTAATTATATATATATATATATATATATATATATATATATATATATATATATATATATATCAAATATTTAACTGTTGAAACATTATTAACTTGTAGACAATTTAAGATTTGACATTATAACATACTTGATCATGCCTGTAAAAATGGCATGCATTTTCATGTAAATTTATGTTTATATGAAAATAAAATTATTATTATATATATATATATATATGTTCAATGTATATCATATAAAATGCATATCTTGGGATTAGATTTCACTGATGGTATTCATTTCATTTACAGATAAGTTATGTCACCTAATGCTGTGTGTTTGTGTGTTTGTGCGTGAGTGTGTGTGTGTGTGTAATTTCACTCTATCTCGCATGTACAACACTAGCACCGACTTCTTCATACTCCTTTTTCTCTATATAGATTTTACGAAATGAACTTAATGAGGCTAGAATTGATCCACTTATGCATACAGCATATTTTTGATCATTTTGTTTTTTATATATAAGAATACATTGATTTTTCGATGAATTCAATAATTTCAGTTCACTTTCTAATCGACGAGCAAAGCCTGGAAGTAGTGTACATCCACCGCTTAACACAGTACTTGAATACAGCGTGGATTGTATGTCATAAGATGAATTTTGTATTGCATCATTAATAACATTTTGTAATCCAACTGCACCTGGAAGTCCAGTATGATTTGGAGAGACTGAGGCTATTGGGATCCACATTAAAAAGCCTAATTTGTTCGTCCAAAAGAAGTTAGTTCAGACACTGTCCTTAACTTGGCCATCTAGGTTTGAATGATTCTCAATTTTGGTGGAAATTTCCTAATTTTAGTTGATATTCTATTCGTTATTATATCTTTATTGTTATTATTATAATTTAAGCATCTTTAATGAACTGTAATTGCATTGATCATACTTTACAAAACGATATTATTTAAAAAACACCAATATTGTTATTAACTATCAATCTTGAATATTTTATGCATATAAACATATATATAGCTGTAGAGCCAGAAGAGGAATTTATCGAAAAGAATATTCTTTGCTCGATTATGTTGTGTTTTATAAAATAGTCTTTGATTTACTTCAGATAATGAATTTCGTTTTACAGAAAAGTGTGAGTTTTCATAGGCTTTTCATTAACTTCATCTTGTTTTGTGGCGATAATGTCCCAAGAGAATGTATTTTTCATGAAATTATGTGTACAAATCAATGTTATTACTTAAAACTTCTTTCGATGATAACGGCCATTCAAAAGTAAAACAGAATTCATTCTAAGTTTTGACAAACGTTGGGATTCAGAAGCTTGAAACGTCAACACTTTTAGTAAAAAGCATAAAAATAAAATGGAAAGTTTTCATTGGTGTACATTTGCTGTTAATTTTCAAGTCTCTGGAGAGGTACAGTTTTAGCAGAATAAAATGGTACCATCTTTTATTTCGTTGCCTTCTCGTCAGCTGCTTACAGGGCCCTGGTAACTGGATAATTTCACCTCTCTTTCCTCCGAATGTGAAATGCTAAAAGTTTCCATTGTGTTTGATTATTATTGTTCGGAATAGTGGTTAATATTGCATATTTATATATGTATATATTTTTAGTGTATGCGTATATTGATCGATTGATTTTTTGTTTAAACTGAACTCTGTGCAAGCATGCTAAAATTGTTGTTGTAGATATATTTAATAATGTCTTTGCCATGTAAGCAGCTGACGAGAAGGCAACGAAATAAAAGATGGTACCATTTTATTCTGCTAAAACTGTAGTTCTTGCATTGTTCAAATTCATTAAGGGGAATAAATGTATGAAAATCTCTGGAGAGGATTGATTAGTTTCAGAGCTGATATAATCATGAACGGTCTTCAAGGCGAATGGTTATCCATACAATTTCATCAAAAAGTGTTTAAAATCGAATCACCCCCCAAAAACCATCATCAAAGACCATATGAAAATTCATCCCGCCATACTTGAAAAAATATCTCTGAAATAACAGCCAGAATACTGAAACTATTTGATATAGATATTGCACACAAGCAAGTCAAATCGCTTAATTCGATATTATGCAAACCGAAAGACCCATCCAACAGAAAAAGGAGATAAAATTAATACCATTTACAAAATAAATTGTATGAACTGTAACAGGCATTACATCAGTCAGAGTGGGCGTCCCCTTCGAATCAGAATCCAGGAACGCAAATCAGCCGTGAAAAGATATAATATATATTCTTTCATATCAATGCATATAGACAACTATTGACATCAGTTTGATTGGGATAATGTCAAAATGTTAGACAGGGGAAACACCAAAAGTGCAGTCATGGAATTCCTAGAAGCCTGGTAATCAAACGAATATGCAATTAACAAACACGTTAATATAGACGAAATATACCAACTAATAAAAATTAAATCAAGTGACCAGAGAGTTTAAAATCCAAGTCAGTAGAAAATGATCAATACTTATGTAAACATGGTTACCGGGAAACGCAATTCTATCACTGATGGAAAATTTAAATCAGTCCACTTCATGCTAAATATTGCGCTGAAGATGTTGTCCATAAAGACGACGGAAGCTCCGAAACTAAGCCAACCAGCTGTGAGAACACTATTAATTGCAAATCATGAACTATACAGCTGACGAAAGTTGAAGAAAACTGGACGGTAATTATTTAGCCTGAGATCTTCCAAGGTTGTCTTATCTTTCTCAGGACACCAAGTTACCAGACATTGTTGCTAGGTAGTCCAATAATCGGTTGAGACGTGATATTGGCATAATAATTACAATGATTGACACTTGTTTCACTTCATAAGTTTCTGGGTTCAAAAAGAAATGAGTCACCGAATTCCTGATGCAAAATAATATTATTATTCCTTTGGGTTCTTAGTAGAACGTAGGGCTTCATTTCTCTGAAGTCCTCTTCAACTAGTTCCACGACTGTGCATAAACACTCATATCCTACTAACAAGATGTCCTCTATATCACTCGTCTTGTCCAACTTGTTTCCCATTCGACAGATAGCCTGGTTTGCGATTTCGAAAGACTTCTCAGTGCGTGTCCAATCCATTTTCATTAGTGGTTACATCGTTTCCTTTGGCATGCTTGTTGGGCCATGGGTTCTTGGTTGGTTAGCTATCTACAAAAGTTCCTTGTTGCCTACTCTTTCTGGCAGAGAAGAAGGTAGCTATTGCTGGAAGTATGCAAGCACCCGTTGGAATTGCTTTCGGTAACGAGTACTCCAAGTGTCTGAACCATATAGAAGCATTCATATAACTTAACATTAGTGCTGAAGATCAGGCTAGTAACCCTACTTCAGCAAACCAAACCAGTTGCTACAGAAATTTCAAGGCAGTCCTGATGTGGTTACCTCAGAGTCTCATGAGCCCGGTCTCAACCTATTGTGTATTTGTGCATATTTATTATTATAATATCCCATACTTCCTAGAGGAACATAGGGCTTCAGCCACGCGTCTCCATTGACTTCGGTTCTCTGCCAACGTTTTCACCCCACTCCAAGTCTGCCCACATCCTTTCATTTCCTCTTCACATGACCTCCTCCAAGTCACCCACCCTTGCACTGACGACCAACTCGCCGCCCGCTTCCCTTTCTGGTTCCACTAGAGTGATGGTCTGGCGTGTGATGTCACTTGATGGTATGTTTTCTCAGAGTATGGCCAATCAATCTCCATTTCTTCCTGCATATTTGTTGCCCAATCGGTTCCCGGTTGGTTCGCTCAGTGCCAGAGACCCGACCCTGTTTCTGATCCTTTATGGCCGGCGATCTAATCTTGAGTAGTATTGAGCGAAGACAGCCGTTGATGAATGTCTGTAGTTTGTTTGAGATGCTCTCTATGACGCGAAGTGCAAGTCTCTGATCCGTATAGTAAGTAGCACTGACTGACTTCACATTGGAGTTGAAAATCCGGATCTCATGATATTTGTGCTGACTAGTGCTGTTGATCTCCACACAGACTTGAGAGTAATGAAAGCTTGTCTTGCTTTCCCGATAACCCTCACTTTGATATCCTCGTCAGTTCCGTCCGTCTTTAGTTGAAAAGATGCTTCCCATTCTGGTAGGTGAAGGAGGTTGTTCCTTTCAGTTTCCTCCCATTTATGCTGGCTGATTGTTGTCTGTTGTTGTTGTTTCTGTTGGTGTTGGCCAGGAATCTTCATCCCCTCCGTTTTCTCTATGTTCACCTGAACGCCCTCCTATCTTTGATGCTTCTCTTGCCAACTTGTTGCTTTTCACTTGCATATCTTCCAGTTTGTGGGAAATCAGACATATATCATCGCTGGCGAAGTCCAGATCCTCCAAGTTTGTCTTTGTGTGGGTCCATTTTATGCCTGTTTCCTCATTTCCCGCTGTTTGTCGCATTATTCAATCTACTGCAATCAGGGAAATCATTGGCGATAGTAGACAACCTTGCCTCACTCCCGTCCTTCACTTTGTACATAAGCACTTCTAACACTCCAAGAGATGAAAACACCAGTGTTCCTTGTATTTCGACTTAGTGAATCTTATCATCGTATTCTTATTTTTTCTTTGAAATTATGATGATATTAGAGGAAGTATTTTCAACAATAAAATCACACTTTTTTGTTGAAAGAGATGATCTTCAGCTGACTAAAAGTGATCGACAAGAATTCATGAATTTGACTCTCTTGAATACCGTAACACACACACACATCAAACACGAGCTACTTATGGTAGTGAGACAAATGATGACTCATTAGTGATCCCAGTTAGCAGCACTGATGGTAGGGAAATTAATACTGATCGGTTTACACAGCAATTTGATGGAGGTATAACGGGTGTCTGTCAGCACGAAACCACTGTTTTCATATCTGCAGTCTCAATTGCTTGTAGAACCTTGACTCGGTTACATTTGCTACTTGCTCTACTGAGTTATCTTTTTGCACTTCATTTGGATCTCATGTGTCAGGTCCCCCGAAATCGTAGGCATGATGATTGCGAATAAGTGATACACGAGTGATGTCAACAGCTTCATTAACTTTTGACTGCTTTCAACAACCCAATAGTCTGAAAATATTTGAACCTGTGACTAAAAAACACAAATTTAATCAATAGATTCAAAATTAACTCTTCGGAGATATTAGACATGATATTAAAACAGCTTTCAATGTCCAATGCATACACTTGACGTTGTAAACACAAACTGTGGCAAAACGCATCACTCTATTCTGGTCTGCACAACTTTGTAAATCAATCAATCTCCCAGTAGTAGTAGTAGTAATAATAATAATAATAATAAGAAGAAGAAGAAGAAGAAAAATTATCAAACTTACTTGAAGGCTGTGTATTATAGTTTTACCAAAATTACCAACTAACTAACTAACTGGGTGTTCATAAAGTTATTCTTTTTTGTTTTGTTTTTGCTGGAACCAGTCAACCAACCAGACAACCAACGAACTAGAGAGCAAGCAAGCAAGCAGGCAATTCATTTCCTTATTATGATAGATATTTATTATACTGTCAATCATTATTTAGAAAGTAGAAAAATTAATTAACTTGCCCAGCGTTTTTTTCTCTCTTCTCCCACCTTCTATGATTAAATTTTGCAGAAAATAAAATACAGGAAAGTAAAACAGAGAAAAGATCTAATCAAATTCTAATATATATATATATATATATATATATATATATATATATATATATATATATATATATATATATATATATATTAGTGTTTCTGTATACGGAACAAGGAAATTAATCACAACACTTTGCCCCTCTAGTTGTATGAGACAAGATAATTTTGAATGGAACAATGGCAACAGAAAGAGATAAGCAGATAGGTTGGTGGATGGGCTATCAAGTTATTTACTCAATGGATATATATATTTAATATAAAGAAAGAAGTATGTAAGACCTAAAGGTGATAAGGGGAGTAAGTCAGTGATCTTGTTAGACATTCTGGCACACA